GTTTATATATATATATATATATATATATATATATTAAACCATAAAAACGTAAACAAATGTTTCGGTAAAGGGAAAATAACCTCATGGGTTATCCGGGGCTAAGTTCATCTTGGGACCGGATATGGAATTCTCAATGATCACATGATTGTTAGGTCATCCGATGGTTGGGACCACTCGGAATATTGGATGTGTAGGGGGTGGACAAGGGAGCTTAAGCGCCTACACAAATTGTTTTTGGGCACACAGAGGGGGGTGGTGCAGCCGAATTCCTACCGCTTCCGCTGTGGCTAGCATACGACAGCGAACCTGCCTTGCTAATCAAGCACGATCCCGATACAGGGGACGGAATGCCTTGGTCACATTCACAGTGTGATTTGTTTCAACTAGGTGTGAAACCACTGCTCTAGTGTGTGACAACCGTTCCTGTGTTTAGCCATGCGGGGTGGTTTTCACGGATTCGTTCGGACAAACGCCTGAACGTGCGGCCCATGTACGTAGTTTCACAGGAACACGTAAATGAGTACACACAAAATGAGACGGCAGAATCCGGCATTTTGTCCTTTAATCGTAAACGCATAATTGGCTGGGAAGTGAACAAAACATTGAGATTTGCTGCATAGAAGGTATTACTAACAGCATCTGATATTCTCCTTTGTATTACTTCGCTGATGTATCCCCCTTGAACGACAAGGCAACGTATACCGACTTCTTTCTGACCTCGGTCTTCGTCACAATATCTCCATCGCACTGAATCCTCTTGCTAACCAATCGTTCTGGATAGCCATTGTGTTTGCAATTACCACGACATGGGAACAAAAGTTGAAATGTGAAAGATTGTTTTCTGAACTCTGGTTTAAATACAGGCGAGCAGTATAACCAGTGTAGAGGGATGTAGGCGATCACAAGTATAAGAACAAGGTTTCAGGGAACGAATAGTTTCCTGGACCTGTTTTGATTATGGATGATAAAATCAGGGAGATTACTTAGAAATGTTAGTTTTAGACTACAGCAAGCATCCATTATGTTAAGTACAGGAGATTGAGGCTCAGACTAATCAAACATTTCCTGGAGGGTAGTGGCTATCCTAATCAGAAGATAGGCAAATTGCCTTTATATTTGGGACATAATCAACTACACATTGGGTTTCACCGACGGTCGCACAAATATAGCTTGAATGTATTTCCTGAACAGCAACGAATATGACGACTCCATTAAGTGCATCGGAACGCGGCTGACTGATAGTATAGATTTTATTGTGTATGAAATGTACACACGTCGTTGTTAAATACCGCAGCTGTAATGGCGTTTTTGGAACCTATATACACACGTGTTGAGAGTAAATATTAGACGGATATTCCGGAGTGAATCTGATATGCCTAGTCATCCTGAGTCCTTTGGAGTACACGGAATTCATCATGGTCGATGCTTTCGTCGAAGGTACCATCATTGGTACACATTCAACCGACGCGTTAGGTGCTCGAGTTCATTCTGGACAACTTTACCACAGCTTGTCTTCATGCGAACATGGAAAGAATAAACGTCAATCCATCTCAGATTTATATTTTTGGCAGTGAACGACAATTTTGTGTGTCAACTTCGCCCCGCTCAGAAATATCACAATGCCTTGGTAACTGGGCCTAAATAGCCCGCGTTGGCAACTACCCAATCCCAGTCTATAATAAACTAATGTAATGAAATAAACAAATTGGAACAATCTCGGCTCTGAGTGCTATCCATCAAGCTCTATGCTCCATTAATGGGCCTTGGAATAGTATCAATGAATGTAAAAGAATACTATGATATTGTCTGATTTCGACAAAACTATTGACTTTTGAGAACAATATTTTTAGGCTACCTATTCTGCTCATCATTCTCCGAACTTGACTCATGTGAGTGAATAATATCATCCTCATCCTCCTCTTCCTCACTCTAGCTCTCTCTCTCTCTCTCGCTCTGTCTCTCTTTGTGGTGAACAGTTATACGAACAGCTGCCTTAGAGTAGAAAAAAAAATATTCTTTTGTCCCTTTGTTTACTGGGTTGCTCTGCGTGTATAATCTCGCTCACATTCCCATAGTTAGCTGCGCGCTTTGTTAGTTCATACTCTATTCTTCTGACAACGACTCACATGTCCCAGAGCAAGATAGAGGGGATGACGGATGAATCAATGTCAGCAGTCAGTGCGTTACGAATTGAATATCCTCGTTCATTTTATTTTATGAGCATATTTAGCGTTTTCAAGAGAAAACCGGTAAACTGAACAATACCAATTTCAGGGAAGTGCACAAAATGTGGAGAGCCACACATGTATATGGGTTCGATGAGTCCTACAGTAGAGAACAGCCTTTTTGATAGCACACAAACGATAATTGTGCCCTTCAGGCATTCATTGTACGTGTACTGTTTTGTCTGACCATCGGACAAGTTGTTCATCCTGTTGATTTAGTTGCAACAAACGAAAGGTAATTTGATTACATTTGTGATTTAATAGAATACTGATCGATGATCTCCCCAATTCTGTAATGCGGTTTAGCTGACATCTGTTGGCTGCATGTCTGGTCACCTAAGAGGGGGGGTCGAAATTGGACGTCAGTTGGGTGAATAATCATGATGAGAAGGAACGTGCGTGGGATACATAGTTTTCATAGCTTACGACACAGTGAACTATGGTTAGTAACGTGACCTGCATGAGCCATGGTTTCATTAATAAATCTTAGGCATCATTGAATCATCCTACTTCATGCACTGACTACCTCATCAAACCCAATTCTCAGTGAAAGCCGCTTATTCAGCTATATAAATGTCATGTATTCTATGTACAGTGGAAGGTTGACGAGGTTTGTGGGTGCCAATTGAGGTGAGTTGCGGGTATCGATCACCGTGGGTATTAATGCGAAACGGGGGACCGAAGTTAACTAGCTGATTACACTTTTCAGGAACGTTTCCAGCTTGTAGGAATCTTTCCTTACTTGTACAGTCCAGGCCAGCACACTCCATTTCATAAACTGTTTACTGAAAATTCGAAGTTTTTCGAGCATCGAATACCGAACAAAACTTGACTGAAGCATCCACCAAACTCGGTTTCGGCAATTTATAGAAATGAAAACGAAAACTGCAATACGTTTTTACAGTAGTCGAAGATTTCCAGCTCCAAAGAGAAGTTGTGCACCATGGAATCCTGCCTGGTTAAAATCGGTAATTCCAAAGACGGGCAAAGTAGTATTTTATCAGTTGGCATGGATAACTAGCAGGCTATCGGATAGCGTATACGGGGGAAACACTCCACAAATCAACTCCCTGGTACATGCGGTTCGAATCCCTTAGGATTCGGTACATGTGCTCACTGCTTTTGGTTTTGTTCCTTTACTGACTATTAAGTTTTATAGCTTCGCATTTTAACTTGTTTTTGCCCCAATTATTTATTATTGTGCAACACTGTATGAATGTCGGTATTAAAGATTAACACTTCAGTCGCAAGGATCCACATATTTTCTAGAACTTGGAGCGACTGACCTCATTACGATAAGGTTACTGTTGAGCTGGAGGGCAACTAACATGCCTACTACCAAGCAGGAAAAGTGTAGTACATAGAAATTCAATATTCTGTATTGTCACGTGTTTTAGCGTGCACGCTGTTTTAAAAGCACTGCTGTTTCTCATTATTCCCTTGTTAATATTATTTGGTTATTAGGTATTCCATGTGAGTAATGGAAGATTTGATTCAATTTCAAATTCATCGTGCACATGGCAAATAAAGCGTGAACTAAAAAGCCAGGAAGCACTGAACAGATGTTTCGACCTGGTTTGGTCTTATCAGCAGTGCAATTACATCGACCCAATTACGGATCGACTAAGGTACCTCATGCGCAGAGCGCAAGCATGCTGCCCACTCAGTCATCGGGCAGATGATCAGACCGTTTTTCCAACCAGGTCGAAACAGATGTCCAGTGATTCCTAGCTTTTTAGTCCACGCTTCATTTGCCATATACACGACAAATTGCCTCATTTGATATTCAGGGATCGCTGATTGGTGATAGCTGGCATTCCCCGTTAGGCATTGAATCGTTTCCCAGTACATTTACTGGATGGTTGTGGGTCGACTTAAATGACCATGCCACCACATTTCTAATGAACCAGACAATATTTATAGAGCTACTTATCTCATATTTTTGCGTCTACTGAAGATCAGTGACTTTGCTATATATCACAACACTTGGCCACTCAATACCAGTACCAGTTCAGAACGTGGCTGAATTTCTCTCATTTAGGAGTCTGACAAATTTCGATTGAACATCCTTCAGACATAAGCGTAAAACAGCTTTTTCCCTTGTTTGAACCAATCAACCGTACGGCCGGGAAGTAATAGACTCACACTGACATCTCTTAAAGGTGAGAAGTAGTGTACATCTCTCTACTCCGGACGTGGCATGGAAAAGTATTTATGTACTACCTTTATGTTAAACACGTCGCACCATAAATGCCACGAAACAGCGATTCCAGTTTGGTCAACTTATCATCTTCATTGGCAGGGTGCCGGGTGAACCAATATCATTGCTGTATTAGCTGAAACATTTAGTACTGGAATTTATGAAATTACGCCAAGTTTCATCTAATCTAGCAAGCCGCCTTTTCTTATCTAGACATTCTCTATCTGATTTATCACGTAATTCAAATCTTACGTAATCAAACTTATCGAAAATAGCGCACTAAACTGAAGCACTCACATGCCACATCCCGGAATGTCGGACACAACACCAGGGGTGTGTTTGTTTTGTCCGCCTCGATTCCCGCGCCGTAGTAGCTGCTGTTTTCGAAGTTCGGATGACGAATATGAAGACGAGGATGAAGAATAACTTTTTGAATCTGTGGTTAGTTTTGATTTTGCGTTCGCTCTTTGCGCATCCACCAACATTCGCCGTATCTTGATTAGCCTTTTTGGCGAAATGTCTGTTAGTTCCGCGATTGAAATCAGTTGCTGGTGCACACGTTTGATAGAGATTTGAGAGAGTGGAACAATGAGCAATTAGAACAGATTAAAAATGAGGAAAGATGAACTAACTTTCGGTGAATGATTTAATAACGTTTTACTTGTTCCCTGAGGGAATGGCAATGCACTCCACGTGTTAATCACTTCTTAATCAATACTGGCAGTAATGTTTGTTGTCCCTCAGAATGAAGAAAAACACTGAGGGATAGATAATGTATTTCTCCTCGATTGGAAATTATTTTCAGGTGTTTTACTGCACCTCACTTATACGTGTAGCAAACTGGCTTTAAAATTAAAAAAAGAAGTAAAAGTTACATTTGATAAATAAGTGACTGTCAGTAGAATCGTCTTTGACAAAGGCATATATACACCTTTTACCGTTTTCCTCTAAAGTCCCAATCTAGACCGCTCGGGATCAGGTATTTTGTGATAATAAAATGTTCATATCACCACGGGTATCTGTAATTGACACTACCAAATACCGCGCACTTAAATCCACCGGGTTAATGATAATGGTCGTCAGCTCAACAATATTATTCTTACGACAG